TGAAAAACATTTTCAAAAATAAGCATTAGAAAACGACACGGCCTTCACTGAGTTATTGAGTTCATTAATCTTGGCCTTTGCTGTCCTTTCTCTGCTCCTCCTTCCCCCTTGCCGAAGCCCTCTGGTGTAATTTCTTAATTGCAGTGTACTAAGGTGTAGGAATGCAGACAGTGGGCATGCTTAGTGACCTCGCAGTGACCTCTCCCCTCCTATTTCAGCTTCTAATCCGCCTGGGGTTTATATTACAAAGCAGGCCAGCCCAGACCAAATCACAGACCAAGGCCCCCTGGCTTCAACGGGACCTCCTGTTCACTCGTCTCTCCCCAAGGTCCAGGCCTTCGTATCAGTCCATACACCAGACCCAGGCTCCAGGAGCCCCAGCCCCCACCACATCTGATTCTTTGGTATACAACAAACAGGGATGTGAAAAAGCCCAACAGTGGTACTGCTGAGCCACCTGCATGTCCTGGGTCCTGTCACAGTGTGAGAGATGCCAGCATGCTGAGGTCTAGTGGAGTCCATCTGAAGGGGCATTGCCACACCCCGCCCCTTTTTCTTTCTTTTCTCTCCTAACTTCTTTTCATCTTTGTTGCTTTGTCTTGCAACTTCCTGCTCGTGTTCTTGTCCCACACACGACCTGCTGTATGAGTTAAAGTTTTCTCATTCAAGCAGAGGAAACAAGGCCCTGATGTTCACGTCTTGCTGACACAATCAGATCTTCAATTATTTCATAACTTGGCATGAGGGGTTCCAAATGAAATATATTTGCAGAGGTACACACTCAGGAGTAAACGCCTGTTTGGTTTGTCACTGAACTCAGCCGGGGAACCGACTGCTCCTGTAAAAATACTTCTCCGCATCAATATTCCTGCTTGGTTTCCCTCACATCCTCCAGGACTTCACTGTCTGTGGACGACTGAGGATCATTTTCCAACATGAGACTTGACCACAACGCTACTGGGCATTGTAAACCACTCACCATGGCCTGAAATAGCCCAGCGCAATAATGTCTCGCTTTACTTCCAGAAGCTCAAAGCTCTGTAGTCACACACGCAGTGTCATAAAGTCTGCTAAGCTCTCCGGTGGTGAAGCTGACTTTAAATTGAATTAAGGACCTGTTAATGGAGTAAGAGCATGTCCGAGCTGCAGTTTTATTGACTCCGTGAATACATTTCTCTCCCTCCGTCTGTCTCTCAGGTCCACCAGTCATGCCGGGGGAGTTTGAACCTCAGAGCAGTCCGATGTGCATGAGCATGGGCCCACCCACGTACACCAACTCTCATCAGATGACTTCACTACTCCCACCATTGACAAAGCCTTCTGGATCACCCCCATGCTCCCCACCCTCATCGCACCATGCTGATGCACGGAGGACCCTCGCTGCACCCAGGAATAACCACGTCGGCACAGAGAGTCCCCCTTCGCTCACTCCTATTGGCCCCAGATCTGCAGGACGAGGTCTGGGCATCCATGCCCAACAGTAAAGGGAACTTTGCTACCATCAACAGCAGCTACACAGAAACAATTCAGAAAAACAAAAAAAGAGAGAAAAAGATAATAAACAGCCCACAATAAAACCTATTTTGAGACTATTTTTAAAAATCAAAACACACCTTTTTGACCAGATTTGACACTAAACAAACAGAATTCCAGACGAGCTGTGATTCTTCTTCGTTTTTTTTTTTTTTTTTTTTGTTTGTTTAACGTGTTCATTTTGTTACTTTCATCCAAACAGAGGACCAAGCTAACAGGAACACTTTGTAAAGTCTTGGGCTTTTGGTAAAGATCAACAGAGGCTGTTGTGACGTGTGCAATGACTGGACACATGCACACACACACAAAAAAACCACACACACACACACACTTTCGCACTCGACACCCTAAACACGTTCAGTACACTTTCATGTGACGCTCTTTGAAAAAATATCACTCTGGAAGGTTGAAAAAAAAAAAAAAGAACAGAAAGACTCCAAGAGTTATAACTACTGTAGTATAAAAAAGTATAGACAAATAAGTTAAAACTTGTGCATTTCTTTTTTTTTTTTTTTGTTGTTGCTCACATGTTTTTATGTTTCCTGAGCTAGTTTTAGAATTAAAGGTTAACCTGTTCTCTCTCACACTGTGTGTGCTCTTTCCTGGACAAGAAACTGTCTCGCAGCACAACACTAAAAAAACTAAATATACAAAGAAAACAATATGAAGATGAAACATCTCAAAAAAGCTTCAAACCACAAACGGCAATCAGGTCCTGTCCCCCGTAACAGCAGGGCATGATGGGAAAGGCTGCTAAAGGACACCAGATTGCTCTCAGATTCACTTTGGACATTTTTCATGACCCCTCCTTTTTTTTTTTTGGTTCATGAATGAATGTTTTGTCCTGTAGGTTTTAAAGGAAAAAAACATTTTGTTTGACTTTGCCCAAGCACTGGATTGTGTTGGTTTTATACATTTTTATTTTTTAATTTTAATTATTTGTTACCCTGGACTCTCGTTGGTAAGAGCCTATGGAAGGAAGCTGAACGGTGGAAAAGCAACATCCTGCGGCGCTTCTTCACCCGCAGATCAACACAAGTCGCCACGCAGGACAGTACAGACACACACGTTGATTCTGTGGCGCTGAAGAAGCGATTTGATGGTTGATGCACCAAAAAACCTAAACAGAAAAAAAGAAAAGAAAAAAAAAAAAAAACTTAAATTATGAACTCGATGCTTTTGGGAGAGGAATAAAAGCAGAGAGAATATTGTAACAAACTTCGTACAGAGTTCAGTCTATTAATTGTTTCATGTTAGATATTCTATGTGTTTACCTCAATTGAAAAAGAATGTTTTTGCTAGTTTCAGATCTGCTGTGGCATTGATATTGTATGTCCATGAATTCCTTCCTTTTTCAGCACGTGTTCCTCACTAGATAAGATGCCGTCTCCCTTAAGCTTTGTCAAAAATTACATTAAATACTTGTATGAGGACTGTGACGTAATGTTTAAAAGGTGTTCGGTCACAAATGCTGTAATAAATATTTCATTTTTGATTTTTGTTAGATTTTTGTGTGATTAACTGTGTTAAGTCGTAATTCACTTTCCCCAATTTTTTTTAACAAAGCCTAATGAATTGGTTAATTATTGATGGGGTATGTTGTTGCATGTTAAATTTATTTTTGCACATGGTTATAAAAATACATCACTTCTCACTTTGTTCCTGCGCTCTTTTTGCAGTGGATATATATATATATATATATTTTATTTTTTAAGCCAGGCTGCCCATTTCAGCAGAGTTGCCCTGTTAAAATGACAAAAACAAATTGTGGTGCAAACCTGCCTTGCCATGGCGATTTATTTAGGCACACAAATGTTCCCTTCAAATGATAAATAACTTTCAGATGCAAATTAAACGTGCAAATAATTTACCACCAAGTCACTTTAAATTTAAAGCAAGAAAAACAATTAGCAGTGACACAAATGTTTTTAAAAAATGATAAATATCAAGGAACCAAAACAGCTGAATTAAAAAAAAAAAAAATATATATATATATATATAATTGCATAAAATAAAACAAAGTTTAAATTGATTATATATATTTTAAATATATTTTAAAAGCTGAATAATATTTGAATTGAGCCATTAATACAGTTTCACTGCTTCCCAAACAAGAACCATGAAGCTCCAGAAAGATGAGCCTTCAGCTCGTTTGTCGTTTAGCAGCGCCGCCTGTCGGTCACTTCCGGTACTGCCGCAAAGGAGGAAGAGGCCAGCTCCTCTTCCTCTGCTCCTCTTCCTCTGTTGCCTGCGGCCATCCAAGTTTTAGCCTTAAACCACAAACGATGGCATTATTCTGTCTCACGTTTTATTTTATTTTTCGGTTTAAACTGTTTCTATGTGGGGTTCAAAGATTTAGCTTTCTTTGTTCTATCTTTTATTATTTTGATTATTTTACCACCATCTGCCATTATTAAAATTAACAGATAGTTCTTAAAGTAATAATAATAATTTATTATTAATATTAATATTATTATTATTATCATCATCATAAGGGTTGTTTTCTTTCTTTTCTTTAATTCAGCAGGTGTGAATGCCCTTTTATTTAATTTCACTTTAATTTATTTAAAATTCTTCATTCTTGTAAATTGTCGTATGATTATTTATTTATTAATTGTAAAAACGCAATTATTTTAAATCAACTTTAGGCCCATTTTGCTTTTTTTTGTGTGTGTGTGCATTAAAAAAAAAAAGTTTAAATCAGAAATAAAATTGAATCCCACAATCCTTCGCGACGGCAAGCTATAATTTAGTCAATAATTCTGAAATGAAACTAAAATAATGCAATAAATACACCTCTTCACAACATAATGTCATATTTGTTTTTGTGATTTTAATATTTAGTAGAAATATTATATGAAATGGTCACAGAACGAGTGCAGATTAAACATTTAATGTGACTTATCTCTTATTTAACTCTAAATGTTGGGCCTACATAAAGCGCGCGGGGGGTGGTGGTGGGGGGGGGGGGG